TTATTTTACGACATCATAATGAAGCACGTTGTTAGAATAAATTTGAGAACAAATCAGCTATTTCTTAAATTGTAAATTTAATAACAACGTTAACACAAAAATATATTTAGTTATTTTAAAAGGTTTTAACTTTTAATTTGAAGGATTTTAATCCACACGAAAAAGAAAAGGAGTTTATCATCTCTGGCTTCATTCCGGAGGCTGGAGCGTTTCCGTTTCCTAGCAACCCAATCACTGCTGTATATGAATATAATGTGTGTAACAAAACCACATTATGTAAGAGGTACTCTGACAAGTTAATATAGCATGTAGCAGGTTTTATTTTAATATTTATCTTCCAGTTTAAAGGTTTATGTTAAAGATAAAAAAGTAGTATTAGACTTCTGTATTTAGATTCTGTATAGATTCTGACGGTATAATAACCTTGGATATAAATATCATATCCATCACGGTATCACGGTATTCAGATTACTGCTCTAATACAAATTCTTTTTAAATGGCTGGGTAAAAAACTAAAACTTTTTTTCCCTTTTGAACCCAGTATTTTTGAGAAACATTGAAAATATTTTGCAACAGTAATTGTGTCAAGCTAAATGAATTATTGACTTCTACTGTCTTCATTTGTTTCAAAAACACTGATTTTTTTTCTTATTTAAAATGGCATATTTCTGCAGGATATATTGTTGTCCCAAAAAATAATAATAATAATAAAAAATGTAAATAAAAAAATTGTAGAAATGGCTTAGGAAAGGTATTGCAGAACATTTTGACGGTATTAAAACCTTGACTTTCCAAACCACAATATACCTTTAAAACGGTTACCATGCCCTTCCTAATTAGACCAAACAAAGCAGATTTTTATATAGGACAAAATAATAATTCAAAATGTTTTACATTATCGAGAAGATTAAAATAATCATCTAAGCACAATAAATAAAACCAAAAAAAAAGAAGTTTATTCATTATTTTTCCTTTGGCTTAGTCTCTATTTCAGAGGTCACCACAGTGGAATGAACCACCAACTATTCCAGCAGATGTTTTATGTAGTGGATGCCCTTCCAGCCACAACCCAGTACTGGGAAACCTTCATACACACACATTAACACACACTACGCACATTTTAGTTTGCTTAATTCACATATAGTCCATGTCTTTGGACTGTGAGGGGAAACCGGAGCACCCAGAGGAAACCCACGCCACCACAGGGAGAACATGCGAACTCCACACAGAAATGCCAACTGGCCCGGTCGGGATTCGAACTAGTGATCTTTTTGCTGTGAGGCGGCAGTGCTGGTATAAGCACTGAGCCACCGTGCTGCTCACAACAACAAAGAAGTTAAATAATTAAAATATTTCGGGAATGTATTAAAAACCAGTTTAAAATTCATTTTAAAAGAAAAAAAGACATACATAATGGGATATGTTGGACGTAACATCTGCGCTCATTGGGTAAAGGCCCAGCTAAACAGATATGTTTCAAATCTTGATTTAAATAGAGATGTCAAGGAAGTACAAATACTTAGTTTCCTTACTTATAGATATTTTGATTATCTATAGGGGGATTACCAACCTACGTCACACATGACGTCACATGGGTTCAACTGCGCATACCGGTTGCAAAAAGAGACCGGTTTCAAGAGCGAACATGTGGTGTTGTGCGGTAGGATGCCAAAATCAGAAGTCCAAAAACAGAAAACTTACATTTTACCATACACCACACTGCTTTCAATGCCAACTGCAGATGTCTTTGGCTAAAAGGGAGCTGAATGGAGTGAGGACCTAATTAAAAATGCTCGACTCTGCAGTTCTCATTTCATATCAGGTCAGTTCACGCTATGCTGAATCAAACACATTACTCGTTTTTGATTGTAGCAATGATTTCAGCAAAAACAGTTAAAGAGCCCATATTATGGGTTTTTGAAAATTCCCCTCCATGTAGTGTGTAACACAGCTCTAAGTGAAGTGAAGTATCCAGCTAAGGCTTAAATCTGTAAGAATACAGTGTTTAAAACTGTTGATTCATCTATAAAAGAGTCGATTCATAGTGCTTCAAACGAGTCGCCCTGATACCGACTCATTAGGTGTTTCGCCATGACGTACGAACGAAACAAAGTTTTTCACGTGCACGCGCAAACCCGGGAGATTTCAAACCTGAGGCCCCGCCCTCTGACGCAGTAACCCAGACACACACACACACACACACACACACACACACACCCACAAACACACGCACACAAACATGCCGGTCGATTGAAGTCACATTGCAGATGGATATATTGAGTCTCTACCCAAAGATGAAACCTCAGCATTATAGCCAAGCAGTTGGAAACTACTGGAAACTTCTGGAAGCTACATGCTACAAAGAATACTTCATCTGCGTTTGTTAAAGGAAGGATCAGTAACTTACTGATGGACATCAGGATGGGTTTCTTCCATTTCTCAAGTGTAAGTACGTGCGGTTAAAGTTGTTGCCTCGTTGACTCTAGCTTGCAAATGTATT